AGACAGACAGACAGACAGACAGACAGACAGACAGACAGACAGACAGAGAGAGAGAGATAGAAAGAAAAAAAGAAAGAAAGAAAGAAAGAAAGAAATATAGACATATAAATGAAACATAGAAAGATAGATAGCTCGATATATGGATAGATGGATAGATAGACTAGATGGATGGATGGATGGATGCTTTTAGAATGTCAAGGACTGCATAATTTGCCGCTATTTGCCTCAGGATTTTGATGCAGAAGGATGTGCGCCATCTCGCGCACCAAGTCAAGCATCTTGGATTCGCTTGGGAGGAAGTAGTGATAAGCACACACCGCATGAGGAGGTGCTGCTGCGCAAAGGGATCAGATCAACGTGTCCAAGGCTCAATTGCAATTCAGCCCCCTAACCGATGCGATTGTTCCCCAGGGTATTTGTCTGTGTGGGTCTCTTTTGGGCCTTTCCTTCTCAATCGTTTGGTGAATTTCCCTGGCACACGTGCAAGGCGGGGGCATTCAATGGCATGGACATCCTCAGTGCGTGTAAGAATCTCCTCTCAGACCTAGTGAGCCCGAATTAAGTGAATTGATCCAGCCCGATGATGTATCCCTACACCTCCAAGTACCTCCTCAGAAGGTATTTGAACCCTCCTGGCACCCACCCCAGTCCCACCGAACCTCAGGTTCGGTACGACTGGAGGCCAAACGGGTATGTACCTGGAGTCAACCTGGAGGGTCCAGGTTTTACCTGGAGGGTCCAGGTTTTGTCATTCCCAGACGCTCCAAACAGCCCTTGGTCCCTCAAAACCATAGGGAGTTTGAGACCCCAGACCCCTCCATATGAGGGTCCAGGAGCGTTTGGGTTGTAGGCAAACCTACTGAGTTGGAGTGCGACTCCAGTCCGGGGTCGGAGTTTCTCCACCGAACCCCCAGGGCTCCGACGGTGCCGGGTCCTGTTGTCGTCGCGAAGCTGAGGTTCGGAAGGCCCTACTCTCCGAACTAGCATGGATCTGTTTGTTTCTGATCTTTTCCTGGCAGAATTAGAGCGGTGCTGCACTCCAAGCGACCCTCAATGTTGTTGAATGATGGAAAACGACCTGTTTGTATAAATGGTCTTCCAAGGAGCCGTTCTCCACTTCCATGGCATCGACCCCTGTCGTATTAAGTCCCACTCCGACGGATGGAACCTCTTCAAGTGCGCCATGACAATAGACCTGCAACACGGTCGGTCGGTAGCACTGCAGCCCCAGCAAGTGTAGCATGTGGGGTCACATGATCATCTCCTATAGCCTATACCCTACACCTCCAAGTACCTCCTCAGAAGGTATTTGGACCCTCCTGGCACCCACCCCAGTCCCACCGAACCTCAGGTTCGGTACGACTGGAGGCCAAACGGGATATAGAGTGCTATGTTCATTTCATTTCGGGCCGCGGTTGTGCGGACCCGACCCAGACTGAGTCTGACGGTTTGACCATCCGAGATTGACTGGGTCCTTGGTGGGACTGGGTCCTTGGTCAGGACCTGGACCTGGAGTCTCAAAATACCGAACATGGTCGTATACGGGCCCAAGTACCCGCTTTTGTGGGTTCATGTCCCATATGCTATAAGGATCTATACGGTACGAACGAAGTCGGTTCCAGGTTCCCGTTTTGCTGGCTGCGGCTGCTTGCTTTTCAAACGGGACATGCTTCGTTCGAAGGCCTGCGCCGAACTGAGGTACTTGACCGACGCCTTAGAGAATGAGAAGATTATTCCGAAGAGGAACACTCGAGTCACTCAGATCCCAACAGCATTTGGTTGGGGGATACCCAGAGAGTTCGTACCTTTGAGTTCGTACCTTGCACCCTGCTTTTGTTCGGGTGGCCATGTTCTAGGCTACGAACTGGAGGGAATTGTTTGGACACTCCCTTGCTTGCCCACACCATCCATAGTGCTTAGCTTAGCCTATAACTATACGTTGGGGTGGTTGGAAGGGCATCTTGTTCATTTGTTTTTTTTTTGGGGGGTGGTACTCACTATCACCTATACATAATAGTGTCGAACAGTCCTCACCGTACCTGAGGTTCGGTACGACTGGATCCCTGTAGGGCTCGTCACATGGAGTTGTGCTGTCGACCTAGTGGCATCCCGACATGGAACTGCTGGAGCAGTCACTTGATTTCCGCAAACTTTTGAAGGTACCCACTTTCTGTGAAATAGAGCATCCTCGATCTTTCGTAACTCCCAATGGAAGCTCCAACTTCTTCTGGCCCATCTCCAGCAGCTCAGTCAGATTTGGGCATTAGTCATCAGCAGCTCCACCTGGCCTTCAGCAGCTCCACCCGGCCTCGAAGCCCACGGTCACCACGTGGACGTATTCTTCCACCATGGCCGAAACGAAACCCGTACGAAATCCGGAAACCTGGTCACTGCAAACCCGAAAAATGAAAGGTCCATCCAGAATACTGTTCAGGAATTGAGAAACTATATAGTTTCTCGATGTTTCTCATATAGTTTGGAAGTAGCTCCCCACAAATTTAGAAATAGCTCCAAAGCCTCAGACAAAGAGGCTGACCCCCCTCCTAAAAGCGACTTTTGAGTCTGCATTTCAGCCACTTAAACTTGGAGACCGACAGATCGAGTCAGGTGCTGGTAGTGGGTCTTGACTGACTCGACTGACTCCATCCGCGCTCGACCTGCAGATCCCATGCTCCGCAACACACCGAGGCGAAGAAGGGCAAGGCTCTTCGCAGCCGCAGATCCTTCATTGCTGACGAGCTCCTGTCTCTTGGGCGCAGCAGCCTGTCTCCGTCTCCGCGAGTCTGAGACCGTCTCACCTTGGTCCAACACATACCCATGGGCCCATGCAGCGATGGATTCCTAGCCCGGCATGCGCTTTCGTAGGCGTTCTCTCCCGAACAACTACAGTATCGTGTTAGTTGTTGTTTGATCATGTGTTTAAAGTTGTTTAAAACTACAAACATCTACAAAACCAGGTCAACCATTAATATTTGCATGGCCAAACTGAAGGCAGTCACATTGGGTGTTTGGTCACATTGGGGCCTGCCACATCTCCGACTTCTATCGAGCGGAAGTACCAGTCCAGAGGCCAACAAAGTCGATTTGGTACCCTATAGGACTCTAAGTGAATTCTGAGGTTCGGTGGGACTGGCGTGGGTGGCTTTGGAGGGTCCAGTCATACCTTTTGAGGAGGTACGACTGGAGCCCTAGGGTTAGGGCTTAAGACGCTCAATCCTTGTTGCCTCGAAACTCCACTCAAGTGATTCAGACCAGATGCGGGTATGGCATGGGCTCAAAAATGGCCCGGCCTACCTAAGAATCCGGGCCCTCAGCAACAGATGGGGTTTGATGAAGCGCCCCCCTGCGTTTCGGGTCCGACTCCTGCCATGGAGAGCCCGAACTCGGATTCTTAGGGTGATCAGTTTGGACGGTCTGGTCGGTCTTGATGCGGAGAGTCGGTTCCGGCGACGGGATGGGGCGAGATCTGAATGCATCCGCCGAACATGGTGACGCTGCTGCTTCAGAACCAGCCACCGCGTGTCTGACACCGGGGGGGGGTGCCAGACAAATGGAAAGAACACATGAACACACAAGGACCGGGACGTGTCTTGGTTTCTCCCAAGGACCGGGGCATCGCTTCGAAGGGCCGTTCCGACAGTCGGATCCTCGGTCCGTCGGCGCGCAGGTTTTTGGGCCAATCCGGTCGGACGGACAATCAACGCTACACCTCCTGAGTGGCCTCGCTGGCGGGCTGCGGCACCTGGGCGCCGGTGGTCTCGGGACATACACAGGAGTGGTGACGTGGATCAGCTGCCCCTCGCTTTGTTTGGGAGTGGGTGTCCACCCCCATCCTTAAGGCTCCAAGGGTCTTCTCAGGTTCGGTACGACGAACGACCCGACGTGACTGGGCACCTACATGTCTCAGTGTCGAACCGTCCTCACCATACCTGAGAAGGTACTTCCCAGACACTCCATGGGACTGCCATATATGCCTACATTGACCCCCCAAACCACCCCAACTGATCGGCATATATATGGCATATATGGCATACATGCATGGAGTGTCTGGGCTTGGATCGCTGGGGCATGTGAAACACCGGTGGAGTTCGTTCGGTTTTCACCTTCGTTCGGAGGTTCGGGTTTTCACGGGACGGAGTCCGATGAGCAAGGCACCCATGGTCGCATGAGGGGAGCCTCCAATTGTTGGTACCGACAGCGAGAGAGAGAGAGAGAGAGAGAGAAAGAAAAAGAAAGCAAGAAAGGCGGTGAGCCAAGGGAAGAGAGGTTTTTATAGTTTTTTTTTTTTTAATGTATTGCAGGATTGTTTGGGCGAAGAAGGGGGACCTTAAGAAATTGGTGTGGGGACGCACTTTAGGCACATTGGCCAGAAGGTTTCTTGAAAGGCGGTTAGGATTGCCGGAAAGAGTTGGACACTACTTTTACGGGGTTCATGAATCAGGAATGTCCATTACGCTGTGACTTCAAGGCTTTTGGAAGAACAGAGTCTTGAACTGACAACTTCCTTTTATATAGTCATAGTCTTTGGACTAGATATGTTATATACAGGCTGATTTGTAAAACTACCTGGACCCTCTAGAGAATAGGACATGACTCATGACCCAAACAAACAACAGGTACTTGTACCCATTTTCGGGGCTTTGAGACTGGAAACCAGGTGAAGCTTAACCCTGGTGAAGCTTAACACCTCCCAGCCCCAGGTGAACAGCGAGTTGGCGAGGTTTGCTTCGCTTCGCATGGTCCTTGCGTTTCTGATAGAAACTCGAAGCCTCGTGAACGCTGCGTATGTGTCCACGACACGAAGATGGACACTTTGTCTTGCATCGTCTTGGCGGGTAGCCACGAGGCTCCACATGGCTCGGCCTAGGCTAAAGAGTCTAAAGAGCCAAAGGAGGATCGACTCGACACATGATCCCACATCCAAAGGATGTTGGAGGAATCACTCAGCTGATTTGCTGAGTTGGTCGCTTTGTGTGGACGCTGCACAACCCGAAATGATCCCGGCCTGAACTGTTTTCTCGTATTTTTTCAGAACATGTACGTCCCTCTGAACAGAGGGTGTTGGCGCGGAACTTGCTCGGGTAGGCTTGACGATCCAATCAGATCTTGCTCAGGCAATAACAACATATCACCCTTTTCATATACGCAACACCAAAAAGAACGTCTTTCTAGATCCAAGACCCTGCATGGCCCAAAACTCTGGCTCTGTTCTTCAGGCCGTCCTTGGCTCCCGAGCGTCCTGGCAAGCCTAAGCTAAGGTTAAAGTCGACCGACATGGAACCTGAAGTCTTCCAAAGGTCCATGCTCTATACCAGCCCGGTTACATGTGGGTTTGTTCCCGCGTGTATCAAATTGATTGTGGGTTTGTTCCAGCGCACAAGCTCTTCTCAATTGTTTTTGATGGTCCATGTAATATATGTAGAACCACGGAGAGCATCTGTAGAGATTTTTTATCAGTTTCACCATTTGGACTTCTTTGGACCATTTTGTGTGATGGGGAACATATGTTGTGTCCCGGATGTTTCGATGCGTCCCCCTTTGTTTCATTCGGATCTTTCGGGCAGTGTCAGCGCAGTGTCAGCACGAGCGAAGGACACTGGGTCCTGCCAGAAGGTCTTCTGAGGTCTCATGGGGAGAGGTTTGGATCGAGATCGCCTTTTCAGAGCCCACTTGACCCTACACCGACGTCGTCGTACCGAACCTCCGAAGGTCTCAGGGTAGCTCCTGGACCCGACGGAACATGGCACCCGGGCACCCAGTCCCACCTCACAACAGGGTTCGGGACGAAAACGGAGGCCAGTCACGGGTTAGATTGAAAGTCGTCAGTTTGTGTTGCTCTTCTTTGGTGATCTTCATGTGCACTGAGAATCATGGACCCGACCTCTCAACCGCTGGGGGTGTAACAACCTGAACCATTTCCATTGGAGAAGGGCTGGGATTTAGGATCACAAGCTTTGGTGTCTCCTTGCTACCTTGGAAGACGTTTTGGTGAGTCTCGTTACTCGTCCACACCCGCAAAATGCGAGTCTGGCGAGTCTCGAGAGTCTCGAGGTGGAGGTTCTGCACCGGGAGACCCCACCATGGGAAGCTGCTCAGCTTCTGAGCTTCAAACAGCTTTTCATTCGACCGGCCTGAAACGCATGGGACGTTTTGGGAGCTCCCGGCATCTAGTTAAGCTATGTTAAGCTACGCAGCTACCTGGAGTCGGTACCTGGAAGAATGTTTACAGTACGGTCGTACCTGAGTTTGTTCTATATAGGTATAGTTCTTCAATTGATTAGACAGACTTGAGGCCACGTACCAACTGCAACTAGACTCATATCTTATAAGACTATATCAGTGACTATATATTCCTATTGGGCATCTCTTCTTATAGAACGTACTTGGACCCTCCTGGCCCCTGGCGCCTACATCAAAGAGTTTCCAATCACCTTCTCAGAAGGTATGTGGAAAGATCACGAGGAACAGGGACCCTCAACTACATCATAGCCCCACATGCAACAAAGGAACTCTGGAATCCAGTCACAGTCACATTTTGATTGTTGAGGATAGTTATGGTGTGAATTGGATGCTGCCCAGTCAATTGGCCGGATTACATCTATCGATCATGTTTTTTTCTTGGCAAAAAAGGCCCATATGCTGAGATCCAGGCCCCTTGGCATCATTTGCTCCCATTTCCGAAGATCAGCGGCGTCCAACCGCGATCGTTCTCAAACGGTCTGGTTTGGCATTCGCCTCCACCTCGGAGACACCGAAGAAGCGACCCTCGGGCGTTCAAAAGCGAAGAAGGCGAAGAAGGCGGAAAAGTGGGGGCTTGATGGCTCGGGTTGATGGCTGTGAGTCTAAGCGGTGGGCATGGCACCGGGGTCCAATTCGTGGTAGGGCCCGACCAGTCCACCATTTGGCCGCGAACGGCCAGTCCAAGCCAGGTCAAGCAAGATATCCTGGTGCCATGACCCACAGCCAAATGAATTGGAACAGATTCCTCCATTTGTGGGACCATGGATTGGTGGGGTAGGGAGGGGAGGTTTGAAGAGCTAGCGCTCTTCTCTTGAGACAACCAGCCCAAGGGGGCCTTCCAAAAGCTCCGACGTTGTCCAAGTGGTGAGGCGTTGCACAAGTCAGCACCTGGAACCGACTTCAAGTATTACTCAGGTATGACTGGGCCCTCCTGGCGACCACATGGATCCATATTAGAGCCATAGAAAAGTAGGACATGTACGTACCTGGAGCCTCCAAGTACCTCGGAACATGGGGTTCCCAGTCGTACCTGGTCATTTTCTTCGAAGAGCGCGCCCTTTCTTTGGAGCCGACCCGAACCCGAAGCACTTCAGCCAACGGACTGGGTGGGTCCCTCTTCACGCTTTCCGCCCCTCTCAAGAGCCAGCGATGCAATGCTTGGCGCATCTTACCCTAAGAATGCTTGGGCTCTCCATTAGCAGGGGTCCGGACCCTCAAAACCCTATCTGTTTGAGGGCCCGGATTCTTAGGGTAGTGAGGCGTTTCTGTGTCGAAATTTTGTGTCGAAATGGAACGGTCTGAGTGAGGATTGCAGACCCATGAGGATCCTGCCAAAAGCATCCAAAAACCATGGATCGTCATATAGCCGAGCTTGCCTATTGTAGGCAAGCTTGGCTATTGTATGGATCGTCTGGGATATATCACATCATCCTACATCTAACAAACAAGTCACCGACACTCTCTCAGAGGGTGGATCAGTGGATCCAGGGGAGATGGAACTTTCAGCCGAATTGATATATCTTCTACCAGGACCATCCAAGAGGTGCCTATCAATAGCCTCTTAGAGGTAAAGGGTGTGTCCCAAAAACACCTATTGGAAGGTCCTGGTATAGATATCATTTTGCAGGTCCCGAAGCGGGTGAGGGACCCTAATAAGAACAGGTACTTGTACCGCTTGCACCCGTTTTTCTGTGATATTTTGAGACTCCAGGTAAGTGTACTACATGACCCTATCAACCCAAAAGAACTGCATGGTGACCTGCAAGGGCCCCAGAGGGCGTGGTGAGCTGTACAGAACACAGGTCCGGTATAATCCGCTCGGGGTACTTCGCTTTTCGGTCGTCCGGAGCTCTCAGGCGCCATGAGCTCTTGATGAATGCCGTGGCTCAGGAGTTGGCCGAAGGCGTCAGCACTTGGTCCGAGTGCTTGGTGTCAGCTCCGTCAGTCGCGGGGAGACCTCGGGGCGAAGTGGCGGGGGGGTGGTCTATGTTTGGGATCCGGGAAGACCTCCTTAAGGTGGGTAGATGGGGTCGACTCCCAAGGGCAGACCTTGGGGTGGTATTGGGGGTCGGGGCGGCATCTATGGCAGTCCCAGACGGGTCGTGTTTGGGTCAAGGATTGGACCACCCACCTCGGTCTTCACTGCTCCTCGGTATTCAGAACCATCCCCCCCAGTCACCCGTCACCCGGTGCTCGGTGCTCAGACGACATCCCCACCGACCCACCGACCCTCTCGGACATCCATAAACCCCCGAACCATGGGTGCCATGTTCGGGTCCATTCGTTCCGAACCTGAGGAGGTACGACTGGAGGTTCAGGGCTGCAAAAAGAACCATATGTTCACACGTTCACTCTCCTGAGGGCAGCGTATCTGCCAGGGCGGCCATGGTCGGCCTCACAGAGTGTTTGGGGAGTCCCCGTGGCCGATGTGAGGTCTCAACAGAACTTGGCCAACATCCTTTGGGCTTTTGCCAAGGTCTTGGTGCAGTCGGGAGGCCCAAGGCCTAAAGTGCTCAAGGCGGACAACATTGCAAATGCGGGCGGCCAGCGGAGCCCCCAACGGGAATTTCAGGGTGTTCTCCACCCAGGTGAATCCTTCGACCACTCTCTGAGGCCTCGACCGGCTCGTGCCATCCAAGCCGTGGCGGAAGACGTCCTGCTCACCTTGAACGCCCGGGGGCCGTGGAGAGATGGGCCGGGGAGGTGGAATTCGATGGGGGGCCCAGTGCATGGAGGTATGATGTACCAGGACCCCCGGGCCATGACGGTATCCTGGATAGCCTTTAACCTCTAAGGAGCTATGATTTGACACCCCGAGACCGGGGGGCCTGGTATGGACCATTCTTATAATACTTGCAGTTACTTGCCTATCATGAGGGAACTTCATGTAACTATGCCATCCGTCCGTCCTTAATCCCTCTGTCCCTCCGTCCGTCCATCCATCCATGCCCCCAGCACTATCGGTTGGAGAATTAGATCAGCCACTTGCAATTGTCCACTAAGTCTCCACCCCAAGAAGAGGAGGATGACTCTATGCCCAGTTGAGGGCCCCTCATGGAACAATAATTTGCTTGGAACCTATCTGAGATAGGTCTTTTGACCAGCCCTCAAGACCGATTGCAATGTTGACGCAGGACACACTTCAATATGATAAAGAAGGTCCATTCTGGGGGCCATTTCAGAACGCATCGCTTATTTTTTTTTACAGTACGTAGGTATCATATAAATGATTATTTACATCATGAACAAGCCTTTATGTTCTTTCATGCTGTCTGAAGGGCCTCTTCATATCTTAGAAGGGGCAACAGCAAGCACATCTGGCATGATCATTCCCTGCACAGGGATCCAAGTACCTTCTCAGAAGGTGAGGACGGAGACACTGCCATATAGGTGCCAAAACGTCGGGTCCAGTCATCCAGTAGGGCACGGACGATCTCTTGACCTGGCCAGCTCCCGCTCCGCGTGGCAAGCGCTCGGCGCCGGGGGCCCAGGCTTGGAGTGCTTTGAACATGGCGAATCTCACCTGGGCCTTGGCCAAGTTGGCCCTCCGCCACGAACGACTCTACAGCGCCATTGACGCTCGGGGACGTCCGGGTGGAGCTCGAGACGAGACGACGGTGAGGGAGTTTGGAGCGGGCGAGAGCGGGCGTCACCGGTGACATGGATTCAAGAGAAAACGGAAGTTTTGACAGAAGTCAGTCGTGACGTGACAGTCGTGTTAGGTGTTGGTTTTGTTTGTTGAATTGGTTTCTTGGCACAGTTGATTCCTGATTGCACGAGAGGTGTGGCTCCAAATGGTCTCGCGCGACAGGCTGGTTGTTAGGTCCACGGTGGTGGATGAAGTTCAGGGCATCGATGTGTTTCCTGCCCAGACTATCCCAGCACCTGGCAATGAACAGGTCACCACGTGCGAAAGCTTGACCTCTGCATTTCAGCCACCCAATCTCGGAGATCTCTAGACTCTAGAGTCGGGTCCTAGTCCATAGCGACCTAACCTGTCATAAGCTACATCCAGGCCCGACGCGACCCTGGACCCTTCCTCCAGGTGGGGTCCGTACCCTGGAGGGGTCTGCACTAGTCCCGCATGGTGTTCAGGAACAGGTCGGCCGGTTCGGACCACCTTCATCCTGGGCGACTTCGCCCTCATCGCCTTCATCGACTTCGCCTTCCACTTCGCCCGATTTTCCGCCCAGACACTCCATGTTTGTCCCCTAAGAATCCGGGCCCTCAAACAAGTAGGGTTTTGAGGGCCCAGACCCCTGCTATGGAGGATCTGACCCCTGCCATGGAGAGCCCAAGGATTCTTAGGGTCATAAATGCCTACAACCCCTCAAACCAGTCCCAATGTAGGTGAACATGCTAGTCCCATGGCCTGGTGCTATGAGATTTGGTTTCAAGAGACTTCCAAGCACCCCGACCATGTCACTAGTCTTTTTCTTCACCGAACAACCCGTGTTTGATGAAGGATGTTACAAAGCCACGTCAACCCTTTTTGTTTAATGGTCTTGGGAGGCTGGAGTGTGGGTGTGCTAATTAAGGAAAGTCTAATTATTGGATGAAAAGGCGACATGACCCGAACAAAAAACAGGTATTTCATGGTATTTGTACCAATGTTCATCCATGCATGTTTTTGTTTTTGTGCACTGAGGAGCATGAGTGCCAGCAGAAGCTTTGGCACTTCTCTCCCCAAAACTTGGTCAATGTGGCCTGGGCCTTTGCCAAGGCGGCCCTTCGTGTATGCTGTGATGCGGTGCGTGCTACAAAAAACGAATGGAACCTTTATAAGTTGAGCAATGCTCAGGGCCACCCGGGTACGGGAAACTGTCCATTTCCATGGCAGGAATTCTCAGCTCCATCCCAGCATTTCCATGGCGTGGGTCGCGCCGGTCTTTTGCTTTGGGCTATATAATTGATTTGCCGGAAGATCAGGGGAAACATGTACCAGGTCAATGACCTCATTTCACTGGATGTCATGGAAACACTATGAAACACTAAGGATGTAAAAGACCAGGCTTTTCTGGGACTTTGGACCTTGGACTTACTACAGGGGTGCTTTTGTATGATCAACTCCAGTAAAATAAGGTCATTCCCTATACATCCAGTCGTACCGAACCTCAGCTTCGGTGATGTGCTGTCTCCACTGTCATTTGCCGGTGCCAAAACGCGCAAATCCGTTTTCGTACCAAACCGTTTTGGTTCAGTACGAAAACGGATCCCTGATCGGGCCGGCTTGACATACCTGAAAGTACGAAGGTGGCATACCTTGTTTTCTCCGAGACGTCCACGGACGATCTCTAGGGATTGTAGGGAGATGGAAGGAGATGGATCGTGACCTCCCCGATTCCCTTCTGCGAATGCCCAAGAATGCGATCCCCGCTATCGATTCGATCGGATCGGGTGGATGGTGTTTTCGGGACAGCGAATCCCATGTGACAGGTCTTTAGGAGCTCGCAGATGATTTGTGGGTAGTAGCCTAGTAGACCACGTACCCGACACTGGCACCCATCCCAGTCCCACCTTCTCAGGTTCGGTACGACTGGAGCCGGTAGTGATGGGAGCCAATGAAGCCAAGCATTCAAGCAGCTCTTTTTGAACCATCGGGATCATCCAACTACACCAAAGAAGCCACATTAAGGATCACTGCTTAGGACATGTATTATATGAGAGATCGAGATAAAATATATACATTACATTTTTTTTTAACACGAATGCATTTGTTTGCTGGCAAAGAAGCAGATCCCCCTGGTCCCGACTCTATCAAACCAGAAACAACAGCACGTCGTCTGGACCGACCACACCAGGTGTTGCTGGTCCGCCGCAGCTTCTTCGAAGAGCTGGGCACCTGCGCCACGCAGTTGGCTCCCGACTTCAACCCTCAGAACTGCTCCAACGCCGTCCGGTCCCCCGGTTGTACCGGTCTAGACGACCTCGAAGAGGAAAATCGGTTTAGCACCAACCTAGCCCGGGGGTGTCCATTCACCACCCCTTGGGGGTCCTGGAATGTTTTTTTTGGGGGGTGGAGTGGTTTCTCTAAAACTATGAGATGAATCATGGTGGTGCCAGGGAAACAGACGGGGTCAGGATATGATTGGTCAAAAGGGGCATGTCTAGAGAAATGGAAGAACAGCAGCAGCTCGATTCTGTATTTACGATTGCTTGTGGGCAAAGGTTTTTTCATCCTCCTCAAAAGATCCAGTCATCCATTGTCTCACAGCTAGCATGTGATTTTCTGAAGAGAGCTGCCATGGCTGACATGTTTGTTCTTTTGATGGGATCTTTTCGCTCAAGGCTCCACGTGGAGAAAACTCACTCCACATGGAGAAAACGATTCATACAGGTGTGGCTAAGAACATATTTACTGTGCCCCTCCAGTGGTTCAGAATGATTCAGATAATTTCAGATACATGTGTTTTATATGCATGTTTCATAGTATTTCTTGACGTGGGCAATTGGTCATGCGCTTCTCATGGAGTTTGGTGATTTTCATCGCCAGATGTGATGCCAGCTGGCCGCAGTTGCCTGACACAGCTTTGTGTGATGGCACATTGGGTCTTTTCCAGAGGAAATTGGGGCGTCAAGAACGGCGTGCAGTGCAGACAGAAAAGCCATGGGAGAAGCGAGTATACCTAGTAGGCACCTGCCACAAGGTCGGCAGCCAGTTGCTGCGGAATGTCATGGAATGGACTTTTGATGCATTGGGTGCCAAGGAGTCCTGCCAGTACGGCGGGATGGGTGTTCCGATCACTTTCTATACTCCTGAGCACACCGATTGCGCAGAGCATCCGTCCTCCATCCGCTTTGACAACCACATCGACGGTGATACCATCTCGGAGCTACGAAACTTGGGCGGTATCTTAGTCCTTTGGCTTTTGGTTTATAACTTACATGTTCTTACTACTCAGATGCCCCGTGAAAACAGGCCTTTTCTCCTGGTCCCTAAACTCACCTATCGATTGGAGGGTCTGGACCGACCCGAAGAATCCAGCTCCGGCTCCGTCCAGGGTCGCGGTGTTCATGCGGAAAGGACCAGCTGGACAGCCGAGGAAAAGAGACCCACAACACCGGAGGCTTCCGCGGTGTGATGATGATCCGGGACCCGGTCGACATGGTGATCTCTGCGTACAGCTACCACCACCGGGGTGCCGAGCCATCCGGCCGAAAGTCGCCGAAAAAAGGACGACCCGGAGACTCGAGCTAGTGATCGACGCCCTCCGAACTGTTTGTTTGAAACGCTGACATCCTGAAGTAAGAAGGAGAAGAAGGAAGATGAAGAAGCACAAAACAACACGAAGACAGAAACTAGAGTCTTGAGTATCAGGTGGTCCTGCTTTCAACTCTTCTATATTAAGTTTTAATTATCATTGTTTATAATATGTTTACTAATGTTTTCTATACATAAACTTTTGGGGTAATCCCTGAAGCTAAGCACTTGGAGCCCCAAAGCTCTCGTGTGTGAGTTCTCAACCTACCCAGGAAGTCTCTGGATCAAACAAGTTTTTGGAGAAATATGCGTTTCTTTAAAAAGGACAGGTCACACCGGTCATATAGAGATTGCCGATGTCGCTGCGTTGTGGTGGAGAAGGTCGATTGTTTGGGCCTGAAGCTCCAAGGCCGGATAGTATCTATGCCCAGGGCATGGTAGAGCTCACTCCAGCAGAGGGTGTTCCTGCGATGGCCTCGCGCATGCTGGACACTGTGGAAGTGATGGTGCAAGCAGCGAAGAACGCTGAGCCCGACGTCATGCTGGTGAGCTTCGAACGTATGACCAAGAGCTCAGCAAGTTTCAATCAAACTGTCCAAGATATGGTCGAATTTCTCTTCACGGACGAGATCAGCAAGCTTGACCAGCAGCCTTGGATTGCAGTCATGACCGATAGGGCTCCACTACTTTCCGAGAAGGTGCTTATAGGGTGCGATCTTGGGGGTTCTATAAGTTCTATCCCGCAAAGACCTGATCCAGCACCACCGAGTCGAGGTGGAGGTGGACACCCCTTTGATGTTCATGTTCCATGCAGCACCCCCGTCCCCGTCGGTGGATGAGGATGTAGTTGGTTGGATCATTCGATCTCCAACACATCGGCCGTGCTCCAACGGTCCTGTTTTGTAGAGTCATGTTCCAGTTTCCAAGGTACTTTGGAGAGTCTAGGCACGGTACATTGACCCCCCGCCCCCCCCAAAAATAGAAAACTCCCCAAACCTCTCGGAACGCAGGTGGTTAGTGGTTGGAGTCTTTGGTGGGCCAGATGCGACCCTGGACCCTCCGTTCAGAGCCGGGGCCGTTCCCGAATCCTTGGGTCAGGGGCCGGTCCTTCTCACCAAGGGACCGGGGTCGGCCTGTGAACGGAGCTCGTTGGGGGGATGGGATGAAGAGACCTGGATCATCTCAGGCAGAAGATCCTCAATCGGGCGGTTCAGGAAGACTTGCACCGGGGCTACAATGGACTGTCTTCCATCCGCTTCGATGACCATTGGGTGAACCATACCAATGACGCAGAGGACATGGAACTGGCAGCTGGGAAGTGCTGGAATTGGTCGTTTTATTTTTGGTGCCTCCCAGACGCTCATAGACCCTCAAGTCCATATGGTTTTGAGGGACCAAGGCCCGTTTGGAGCGTTTGGGTTGGTGGTATTTCTTGTTTGACTCTGTTTGACTGATTTGGAATGCCCACACATGGGAACATCGGAGATCTTTCAGACATTTGCATCATCCGGAATCTTGAGAGAATCTCACCCTCCACCTCAAAAGGACATATTTTACGAGGTCCTGCTGTCACTGTAAATGACCTAGTTTTACGAGGTCACATTGTTTAGACCAAAAATTTCAAGGTCACCATGTCCACGGAATATGTTTGGGGGAATCATACAGTTAGTTACAAATATAACCATCTATATACTGGCCACATAGTACACTCATGTTTAGTGGTTGTTCTTTTTTTACATGTGTCACATAAAAACCTCAAGTGCCGACATGAGTCACGCGTCTTAGAGTCACGTTCAATCAGGTTCGTACAATAGTTTTTGACGGGCAAAACTTAGTAAAATTAGTAAAAGACGTCGAACATTTAATGGTTTAGGTGGGAGTCACGCTAGAGTCACGCCAGACTCACGGCCCCACGTTCAGGCACTAAGCACTTGCTGGGTCCTAGAGTCCTAGAGCTAGCTAATTTGGTGGTTCATCCAAAGGCATCAGTTTTTACCAACTAAAACCTCATTCACCGAGTAAAGGGTGCCTGTTACTTATTGTTTTTCAAACTAAAAGACGTCGTTTACGGTGTAAATTTTGTCTATCTACCATTTCCACAAAAAGAATTTGGAGGTCACATTTTGCTATTCCTTTTTTGCAGAAAATTTGGTCCAGTAAAACGAGGTACTTGACTTGGAGGGTCAGGTTCCAAGGTTTGCTCAGAGATTCCAGCTCTCTCCAAGATCTGCATCAATTTCAAGCGACCTAGCCTGGGTGTAAACGCCCTCAAACTGTCATTGATGTCGTCCGTGGTGTCAGTTTGCCATTCTCAGCAACGGAAGAGCGGCTTCGGGAGATAGAAGCAGATGGATTGGAACCATCAATGACCAGTCTCCATCCCATTCAATCGACCACTGGACCTGGACGTAATTCAACATGTTGGCAGCTGGACTTGCCGTCGATCCGTCGTTTGTAAGGCGAAGAGAGCTTGGCATGTGGTTCCAGCCACTCTCTCAGCTGAATACCAGCGTTTGCGGAAGGAGCTTGGTTATGCTTAATGGGACTCACTGCTGTCAGGACCGCCGCAGGCGCGGTCCTTGGCCCTTTTGGTGGCTCCTTTGACCTGGGCCTTGCCGCCTTAGCCGATGTGGACCCAAAAGGATTGGCCTGCGATCCCAGCGATATCTTCATGGGACTGGCCTATTTTTCCTGCTCAGTTTGGGTGGTTGAAAAGGGGAAGTAAGTAATGTAATGTAGACTCTTGATTAGTAAACCCCACCATTTGAAGGGGAAATCCTCTTCATGTGGTGGGTTTATTAATGAAAAGTCTACATTAGGTCCGGAGGTCTTTCTGGCGTGTATCAGCATGTGTGAGGACAGAACTGTCCAATCCAACACACCTCCAACAACGAGCATGTGCCAGCCATCAGAGGTGTTGTTGTTGTTGTCGTTGTTGTTACAAAGTATTATAAAGTTTATTGTTCTGTGTAACACTCCAATCTAGCCCTATTGTCTTTTTGGAGAAAATCAACTCATCATTTGGCGAAAAAACAGACACATCTTAGAGCTGGGAATTGTTTCAGGCGACATTCAAACAGTTATGGTGGACCCTGTGGTGGGTGCCTTCGCAGTACCCTCCAGGTACTCCCGCTTAAGCGCCCAGTTCCATTTGACAACACCCGGTGACCGGCGGTCATCCGACAACTCCCAGTCATGGCCACTTGAACATGAGTGTTTTCAATGTGTTTTCAGTACTTCTTCCTGCTTGATGAGTATGTCGTCAGTGGTGTGTTCTTTTTGTTTCAGAGTCTTCCAGCAAAACATACAGTCCGTTGGAGAAGTGTCCTATAGGCTATAGGTCCCAGGAAAAGTCTATGAAGCTAAGTGGAACTATGTTTGGCTCCTGCTGAACTGCTTTAGGTACACTAGGGGTCGAGTCGTAGCTTCTCAGATAGTATTTGGCATTGGACCCTCAAAGCCTACATCAATGTGTCTCCAATCACCGTACCTCAGAGGGGTCTGATGGGTATGTGGATCCAATAGGGGTATTGTTTTTTTATCACCCAATGAGATCCACTGTTTGTCTCACAGCTAGCACATGTTTGAAGAGAGCTGCATGGCTGGCAACTCTTGTTGTTTTGCTGGGTGAGATCTTTTGGCTCAAGGCTTCACGTGGAGAAAACCCACTCCACAACATGTGTATACAGGCGTGGCTGAGACAATACTTTCCCTCCGGTGATTCAGATAGGAAGGACCTGAGCATGGCATGCTTGTGAAGCGAAAAGGTCTTAAGCCCTTTGTCCATGTCCATGCTAATATGACCAGTAGATTCAGCAACTGCACACTTGAAATCGACAAACGCACAATTATTGATTTGTGTACAATAGTGACTTTTGACGCGGGCAATTAGCCATGCGTTTCTCATGGAGATTGGTGATTTTTATCGCCGGAAGTGATGCCAGCTGGCCGCAGTTGCCTGACACAGCTCTGTGTGATGGCACGTTGGGTCTTTTCCAGAGGAAATTGGGGCGTCAAGAACGGCGTGCAGTGCAGACAGAAAAGCCATGGGAGAAGCGAGTATACCTAGTAGGCACCTGCCACAAGGTCGGCAGCCAGTTGCTGCGGAATGTCATGGAATGGACTTTTGATGCATTGGGTGCCAAGGAGTCTTGCCAGTACGGCGGGATGGGTGCTCCCATCACTTTCTATACTCCTGAGCACACCGATTGCGCAGAGCATCCGTCCTCCATCCGCTTTGACAACCACATCGACGCTGGCACCATCTCGGAGCTACGAAAAGAGACCCAAAACACAGGAGGCTTCCACGGTGTGATGATGATCCGGGACCCGGTCGACATGGTGATCTCTGCGTACAGCTACCACCACCGGGGTGCCGAGCCATCCGGCCGAAAACCATGACATGTAGCGGGGAATTAGTGGCAAACATGAGTGATACAATACAACAAGACGGAACAGCAAGACTTCAACGGTAATTATCTACAAGCAGGAAAGAGGAATGACAAAGACAACGTCAAGAAAAAGAATTCAGACCTTTATCAGCGCAGTTTCCCTTTATTTTTTTAGTTAATAATGTTCACAAATCAAGCTGTTCCATGTTTGCCAGATCTTTGGCACTTTCAACATATATAATCCAGACACTCCTATGCCATGTATGGATTATATAAATATATGCCTACATTGACCCCTGAAACGCCGCCAACCACCCCAACGTAGCCAAATATTTCATACTTGGAGTGTTTGGGATAGAACTGCAAGAACATCCCATGATATCCCTCAAAAGTTGAGGTTCTCTCGCCTCCTTTCGTGTCGAATTGCCTCGCTCAAAAGTTCACAGAACCGAACCGAAACTGGTCTCCTTGGAAAAGACATGCCAAAATCAGTGGGTGGCAAGCAAGCAACTTCAAGGCCACCCTTTCCAAACAACTAGATCTTTCTGGGAACCCCCAAAAAAGGGGGGATATAAAAGAATCTAATCCAATCATCCTGGGTCTGCTGTTCGGGGTCATGGCCCCGATGGCTGTCAGAGGCCAGACAATACCTACTACTCCATGGGCATGCCAGAGCTCAATCCAGGGGAGGGCATTCCCGTGATGGCCGTGCGCATGCTGCCGATTGTGTTTGAGATGGTGCAAGCGGCGAAGAAAGCTGAGCCCGAAGTCATGGTGGTGAGCTTCGAAAAGATGACCAAGAGCTCAGCAAACTTCAATCATACTGTCCAAGAGATTGTCAATTTTCTCTTTACCGATGAGATCACCAAGCTTGACCAGCAGCCTTGCATGAAGGTGAGTTGTTTTTGTGTTCCAAAAACATAACTATAGTCACTATCATCGACGGGCAGCTGCTTGAACCTCAAAGTCACTCTTTTCAATGTAGAGACAGCAAAAGCAGCCTTCGGGCACAAAGCCAACTCTGGCAAAACACACAAATTCTGCAAAGCCAATTTGGTCGAAGAATTACATCACAATCATCAGCCTAGCTCTTCTAAGGGACCTTTACATCACCGTTTCTTTTTTTCCGAGAATCGGTCACGTCGACCGGACCTTCCAGGGATTCCAGGGAGGAACAAAACGGGACGAAAGAACGAAGCGAATTCAGGCAGTTCGAACATGGAGAACTCCAGAAGCGAACAAGTCTGGAGGTCTGGAGATCTGGAGTCGACCCCGTTCGTACCTGTTTGAACATGCCATATATACCTGTTTAGGGTTTAGGGTCATGTCATGTCATGTCCTATTTTCTCTAGGGTCATGACCTTCATGTCGACATGTGGCGTTCCCTTTAGGGGTCGAACATTGAAGACCATAGGCGAATGGGACTGGAAGAGTTACCATGTTCTGGGTCATGGGCTCAATGGATGTAACTCTTCCAGTGCCATTGGTTTGGTGTGGCTTGATCACTTTCATCCCACCCTCAGAAGCCAGGGTGTTGAGGCTTCGGAATCCCTGAATCCTTGGGACGGTTTATAAGGATTCCCTTCATGGCCATGCATTCACCCGTTTGGGATCCAGTCGTATCTTCGTTCGGTACGACGAAGGACCCGACGTTGTGGCACCGCCTCATCACAGTGTGTCGAACCGTCCTCACCTACTTAGGGGGCCTGACTTAGAGACGTTATAACCTCACTTGCCATACTTATAACTGGACTTATAAGTGGGCGGCCCGCTAAGTAACCTGAGGTTCGGATCCCAAAACGGATCCCAAAACGGTCAACGGACCACGGAGATGTCGATGTCGATTCGTCGACGTGACTGGAGGCACGGGTCTTGTGGTTGGAGTGGGAAGAGACCGGTCATTTGATCATCTCAGGGGTTTGGTCCTTCTCACTGGGACCGGGAGGAGGGGATGCGATGAAGAGACCTGGATCATCTCAGGCAGGAGATCCTCAATCGGGCGGTTCAGGAAGACTTGCACCGCGGCTACAACGGACTTTCTTCGATCCCTTCTGACCATTTCGTGAACCATACCAATGACCCAGAGGACATGGAACTGGCAGCTGGGACTTGATGGAATTGGCTAGGATTTCTTAGAACTCTCAAGTATATTAATGTAATTTGGGTGGTTTTCTGTGATGTGTTCCTTTCAGGTTTAGGAGCCTTGAACTTCGGGTTGTTGCTTGGGGATTCCGGATCCGAATGCTCGCTCAGGTCATCGAACAGAGGCGGATGAAGCCCCCGTGTTTAATCCGGTTCCAATGAGGTGGCACCTTGCCAATAGGAGCTGAGAGAGAGAAGAAGACAAAGAAGAAGAAGAAGAAGAAAAGAAGAAGAGGAAGAAGAAGAAGATAGAAGTGGACCTTCAAGCAAGGTGATGTCTTTTGATCAGGTACAATCCATGTGATTCTTCCTCTAACAAACATTGGTCGCTGGACGTTCGCTCTATGCCAATCGTCCATGAAAATCCGAGGCGAAGAAGGCTTGGCAGCAGGTTCCAGCCTTTCTCTCAGCTGAATACCAGCGTTTGCGGAAGGAGCTCGGCTATGCTTAGATGGACGACCGGTCCGGTGTGCCTTTCGCTCTGCTGCGCGCTGGGCGAAAAGAGCCTCGCGGGTCGCTGGAGTCCCTTGGGACGAAGACGAATGGCTGGGAGATCGAGTTGAATCGGCCACCTGGGCATTGGCTCACGCTGTTTCAGCTCACGCTGTTTCATCTAGCCAGGAGGAAAGGGGATATCCTGCAAAACGTTATGACGAGGATTGGTTTCCCCACAAAATAGGAATGAACAGTTCGCTTTCCCTATGGCACATCCCTTTCCCAGACTGGTAGTATTTATATCACTACATTGGGGTGGTTTGAGGGGTCAATGTAGGCATATCTTCCTGTCCCATGGATGGTCTGGGTTTGAAGGTGATGTGACTGATCGGCGATGTGGACCTTCTAGGTCTGGGTCCAATACCGTTCACCCTAAAGACTGGACCTTCCGAACTTTGGGGTGTCCTCCAGCCAGGAGATCTACACCATACTTATAGGGTCCAGTCTTGGAGGTGAGTGCGTACTTCCAGAGAATGGTCGAACTGGGGCCTTGCAGGACACCCTCAGTATGGTCCTGGACCCTTAGGGTACGTACGTAGTGGGCTGGGTATTCCAGCCAGGAGACCCCTCTCCGGAAGGTGCTGATTGACTTGCCTTGCTAAGTTTGACGTCCAATCGAGTTACCCAGACACGAGCTGTGAACTGACATATGATTTGCCTGTTATATATATATATACCAGGGGTCACAAAGGGGTGCTTAATGGAGGTTAGGGGTGCCCATTATCCACTCACTTGGGGACTAAACACCACCCCTTTGTGACCCCTGGTATATACAATATAGAGACCCCTCGAGTTCTTTTCAGGCGCCAGGACTTGGGAGACCCTGAGTTACAAGCAGGTGTGGGCCTTTGCTGCGGCCATGGCCAGCGGCCACGGGCCCTTGTTGGCGGCCGTGGCCCAGCGGGCGACTCGCTTAGCACCCGAGCTGGGACCGCAGGACTGCCGGTCGGTGGTGGTTTTCCCGTTTTGGCTCAAGGCTTGTGTTAGTTTCAGGGATCTTTTTGGGATGGTTGTTCTGTTTTGTTTGGTTTGTGTGCTTCATGTTATTTAAGTATATTTATATTATTGAATTAAATGGTGCTAAGATGTATCAAGTGGTTTTGCCAATGTTTCTATCTTTGATGTTGCTTTTAGGGTTGGTCACTCTTGAGGGGGGTTCTCCAAGAGGATGTTGTACAGAGCACAGAGTCTTGTAGGTGAATCTTGTACAGAGGTTGGTTGGCTTGCTACAGCAGCTGCAGGTTGGGGGGAGGTTGGAGTTATTTTTGTTGCATCACGTGTGTCTGAAGTTTGTTTGCAGTTGAATCTGAATGTGCAAGATATTAATACTGGTGATTTGAAATTCTTGGAGGCAGGGGGTGGGGCTTGAATTTGTAAGGTGCTATACCATGATGTAATGTGCTGTTCACATGTTCAGTCATGTACAAACTGACTGTCCACATCATAAGTACCCACGTGGTAGAGCTGGTGTTCATCCATTTCATCGAACTCCCAGCAGGACTTGGCGAACCTTTCCTGGGCATTTGCCAAGCACTTGCCTCAGACTGTCAGACGATCCTGTTGACCAAGGATTTAGCCGAAGGACTTTGAGTAAAATCATCCCTATATATATATATATACCTTTAATAGTTCTTTGAATATACCTGGACATACCTGGACCATCCAACGGGTGTTCAATGGACTACCCTACCAGCACCCACCCTCCAGATCTTCAGACAGTGACAGGCTTTTGGACACCCAACAGTGGCAGGTGGTGACCTGTGGAATCAACTGGTAGGTCCCAACACCTCGTCCTGGCAGGTCCCGAGTCTTGGCCCCTGGATCAGGTTGATCAAGCAGTGAATTGCTTCAGAGCTAATCAGCCACCAACAAGAACACCAGACACCCCCCGTGTCCACCCAGAACACCAGGGACTCGGGGGGGGAGCCAGCTGTTCTACGCTTGGTGTTCTACGCCGATAGCTCGCGGCGTTCGACGGGTCCTCATGGGTCGCCATGGCGAGCCCAGACGGAGTCTCGATGGCTGAAGCCATGGCACCGGTCGCACCGGTCCATGACCGTTTGGGTCAGGCGGACCCAAGGGACGGGCGGTGCCAGGGGATGCCAGGGGGGTTCTGAACCCTAGATGGGCCGTTTGGAGCTGGAGAAGTAACCCCAGACACGACCCATGGGACTGCCATAGGACTGCCGATCAGTTGGGGTGGTTGAAAGGGGGTCAATGTAGGCATATATGGCAGTCCCATGGAGTGTCTGGGAACTCTTCCTTTCAAAGCTGTTGAAACCAAACACTGCCACCGTGCCCACCGGCTGAGAGATCCCGACACTCCAGGCGCGACCCACCGGATGAAATTCAGCGACTGGCACCAGACTCCCAGACGATCCATTTGAGATGTTTTTGGTGGTTTTCATGTAGGTCATATTTATACCAGGACCCTCCAAGGGGTGTCCAATGGACTACCCCACACTACCTATAGGCTTCCAGACAGGGCACCCCTTGGAGGGTCCTGGTACTTAGTATGAATTGTTTGGGTATTTCTATAGGGTCATGAGTCATGAGTCAGTTCATGAGTCATGAGTATCCACTGCTTGATCGTGTCGCCCGTTGGGTTTGGAAGGTGTCGCGCGGGGCCGTGGGGGGTCTGGTACGGTGCTTCTCTTCGGTCGGATACGAACGGTCCGTTCGGGCCGACCAGCACCTTCCGTTTCACTTGGCCCACCTGGCAGGTCCAACCCCCACCTGGCAGGTCCAACAACCCCACCTGGCAGGTCCAACCCCCACTACTTGGGGATCTCCATACCCTATACCTGCTGAGATGGTATGACTGGACCCTCCAACACCCTGGTCCCACCTTCTCAGAAGGTACTGGGACTTGGGACCCCGGTGGTGACTGGGGTCCTGAGGCTCAGTCGAAGGGACCAAGCCTTCGAGGAGACCATGGCCTCTGAGGTCTTGCGCAAGGTCGGGGGACCTCCACGTTCCGGACAATGTCGTTGGACTGGAGATGGGAGACCCGCAATATTCAGCGGTAATAGAGACTACTATAGTGACTATTGACTGACTCCTACAAAAAATTGAAGAGCAGACATCAACTTGCGATGATGTTTTCTCAGACCCTATAGCTACTATATTCAAAAACCGCGCAAAAACCTACCTCGGTGGGTGAAGCATCTCATGTGGACACGCCCCGGTCCAACGGTTTGCTTCCGAGACGAAGGGTCGGCTGGAGCGAGGCGGTTCATTCCAAACACCCGTCGCAGTTCATGAAAATAGGCGGTTCATCCCAAAGAACCAGATGCTTTACTAAGGATTTACACAGCCTAAGAGTCCTTGGGCTCTCCATGGCAGGGGTCGGACCCTCCATAGCAGGGTCTGGGCCTTCAAAACCCTATCTGTTTGAGGGCCCGGATTCTTAGGGAGCTACAAAACTGGGCGAACAAGCTTTATATTTTGGAATGGTGGACGGTTGGAAGTCTTGATATTGCCAGGTGAAGAGCTGCTCGCCACAGCACTTGTCCATCATCGCCTACTCTTTTGCAGCTCGGAGCTTTCGATACACGAGAACAAGCTGGGCTTCGGATGCTTCATTGTTCAACAAGGTTGATCATTGTTTTGGTGGAGATCCCAGCTAATTTGAGCAAGCTGGAGGTTTAGCCTTTCAACATTATTATTACCCTATAGACTATAGACCCTATATGCTATATAGGGTCAACACACTCCATAGGAGGGTACAATGATGGTTAGATACTTTCATCGCCTACCAGGACCCCCGTTTGGGTGTCTCTATGAATAGCCACCAAGGTTGGGTTCTTTCGGGGTCTTCATGAACCACCCCGACAGGACTCGTCCTGCTAGTTTGATATGGAGATGGTTGACATAGATGAATTATATATAGTCTGTGCACCTATGGTTCGAGCCGGAACTCGCACCGAACATGGGGCCGGAACTCAGGTTCTCCGTGTTCTCCGTGTTCTCCTCGTGTTTGTGGGAACTCCAAACGGGTTCATGGGATCTGGGGTTCAGTTCTTCTCTCCCTAAGAATCCGAATCCGGGCTCTCCATGGCAGGGGACTCTCCATATCAGGGGTTGGGGCCCGAACCAAACCCAATCTGTTGCTTCGGGTCCGGATTTCTTAGGGCTATCGACTAGGACCCTCAAATCAAATCTAAAGGGTTTGGTTCGGGTCTGGACCCTTGCGAAGAGGGAGAAGGTCCGACCCCTGCCATGGAGGGCTGCGGAGTCAAGTCGCTCAGGGGTTTATAGAGATTCCCTGGCTGGATAGACTGGTCTATAGTCCAAACCGAACCCGTCGTTGCCTGGGAGGTGCCTCTCTTTTTGACACACACCCATGTCCCAGACACTCCATGTATGCCATATATACCCACGTTGACCCCCAGTCAACCACCCCAACTGATCGGCATATATGCAGTCTCATGTTTCGTGTCTGGGTGTTGTTTTCCGGATTCTTGGGGTTGGCGCTGTTTGAGGCACAGATGATGGCAGCCTCGGGAGGAGACGAGCGTCCATGCAGGTCCACAAGTAGATATCTGATGCCCATTTTGATTTGATAAGACCTCCCCATGTACATGCCAGCCAGACTCTTGATTCATAAACCTTCCTGCTGTGTCAGAGCTGTGTCAATTCCATTGCGGGGGGTGTACTAATCAAGAGTCTACATGACATTGCGTGACTCAGATTCCCACTTTTGGGCGATGAATCCAATCATTCCAGATCAAGTCTTCAAACCAAAATGCTGCTTCGCTAGACTACTAGACCTGGCTTGATCCAGACAATGCTCGGACCACTCGCCAGACCAACTAGCCGTGCAATGACCAGTCCGCTCGGACCAAGTGAGACCTGCTCCGGTTGAACAACCTCATTGAGTGCCGTTGTCCGATTTTCCACCCTGTTTCCATGACTGTAAGATCTGGGGTTTGCATGATGTGGATGATGTTGGAATCATTGGATTCCTAGGACCCGGTTGGTTCACATCAGACTCATCAGACATCGGTTTCGGATATCTTTCTATTTTGCAAACCGTCAACGTCTCGCGTGCGAACTGAGCGGTGCCCAAAAAGCCTTGCAGGACGAGAAGGGCCTGAGGACCGGGGACGAATCGATGGAGTGAAGGAATTCCCCAGCCTTCAAGTGGTCGACCTGGTTTTGTAGTCTATCCTAAGAATCCGGGCCCTCAAACAGGGTTTTGAGGGCCCAGACCGCCAGACCGTTGCTATGGAGGGTCCGACCCCTGCCATGGAGAGCCCGTTCGGATTCTTAGGGTAGAATCTGTTGTAATTAAAGCACTTGTCAATGGTTGTTGGAATAAATGACCTGTGCATATTGAAAAACCTGAATAGTCCCAGGATGAGGGCAAGGATGACGTTGGACCCACAGGAGTCGCATGACCAAAATGAAACAGCACGCCACTCTGAACAAACCACGAGCTCACTCGCAAACCGTCCGAAGTTCTGCACCACACAGAGCCCGCCCTGGTTCCACGAATCCTCTGGAGAACTCCCAAAAACCCTACACCGACTTCGTCATACCTCCTCAGGTAAGTATTTAGATCCTCCTGGCACGTCCCACCCAACCGAAGCGGTTCGGTACCGACCAACGGAGGCCAAACGAGAAAAGGCACGAATCCTTGGTCGGGATGGAGACTGTTCCCCCAGCTGATGTGCTCCCCTCCACCACCCTCCTCCCCTTCGATGCATCGACACCCGGAGGGTCCGGTGGTCTCCACGTGACCCAAGGGCGACGTGCTCCAGGCGCCCCACCCCTCCAACCACCCCAAGGTATATATAGGCCATACATGGATGGTCTGGGATACCAGGCACCTTCCAAGTCTGGTAGTTTTTGGGACACTTCGGGTCACGCTGGAAAAGAAACCCTTAAGAACGATGCAAAAACTGCCAAAAGGCCACTTAAGGCTTGTGCAACTTCCATCTTGTTCAGGATGGACTGTGTGCACCATCAGCTGCACGCATGGTGGAGGTGGGGTCATGTTTGGCCATGGGGAGAGTTTGTCATCCAACCAAAACCATATGATGTATACCAAGATGGGCTGATGGGCTACCTACATTTACATTGACCCCTTATCAGCACCTTGATGGGAGGCCCATAGCAAGGGCCAGGGGGGTGGACATGCTGACGTTTGGAGGTTGAAGACTCCGGCTCAGACTCGGGATCCGTGGGAAAAGCATTCCATAGGGATCCACTGCCACCGTACCTCAGGTTCGGTACGACTGGACCCGACGTTGTGGCACCTACATGTCTCAGTGTCGAACAGTCCTCACCTAACCTGAGGTCCCGTACGTCCATTTGGACGTCGTCCATGGATCTTGGTGGGTCACCAAGCCGGCCGAGACCAACCCTGGCTGAGACCAAGCCCACGGAATGACGGAATATGGTCCTGTGAGTCTTGTGAACATACGTAGTAATTTCCCCATGTTCATGAGTACTTTGAGACTCCAGGTCAGCTTGACCATTCATAAACTGGACCCCTGACCATTGCATTCTTCAGGGTTCCGTGCGAGTGAATCTATAAACTTCTGCTCATGTTGAGTGGTGGGTTTGTCATAGGCAGATGGCATGGGAAAAAAAACACAAACAATCATCAGGATCAATCAAACATAGTATGGAGCAAGGAAGGAAGGAAGGAAGGAAGGAAGGAAGCCGAACCTTTTGACCCTGCATTGGATTGAAAAAGGGTGTTGTGTTGCAACATTTTTCAGGACAATCCACGGGTCAATTCTAGGAACAGAACAAACTTTATATTCTATTTAATCCTAGGGCTTCGCTTTTTGAGCCCAAGGACCCCTATTTTACGAACGAGTTTTGGACTCAGGAGTCTGACTCAGGAGCCTTCTTTTTAAAATCAACATACAACACACCTTTACATACAACACACCTTTTCGAACACCGAAACGGTTTCTTCAAACCATTGTCCCTTGCACTTCCTGGCAGTGTTATAAGGTTTGTTATTGTGCAGCGGGTAGGTCGTGTTCGCTGCTTGGGGGAGGCGCATGGAATCCGCTGCAACAAACACGCCGATGCACTGAGGTCATGGTCGTCGGGCCGTTGGTTTCAAGAAATCGGTTTGCTATCCCTGGGGATCCAGTCGTACCGAACCTCAGGTTAGGTGAGGACGGACACACTGAGACATGTAGGTGCCAAAACGTCGGGTTCAGTCGTACCGAACCTGAGAAGATACGACTGGATCCCTAGGCTATGACGTGACACTGGGTGAATCCCCTTCCACCGGACCTCCCCAGTGACCGTCCGAATGAGATGCCAGCGGCTGGTGTCACGAACGCTGAAAAGGTCGTTGGGAAGATCCTGGTGCTGGAGAATACACTCTGATACACTATCATGGAAGCGGACAACCTCATGTTTCGAGAGGAAAGTCGTTTTCCATGGGGCCATTGTCCACTTCAATGTTAGTGAGTCAGAGTATGTTTGTTCTTGGACAGCAATTCCTAAGAATCCAACTTCGAACAGATCATGGTCTTGGACGTGGCCAGGTGGTCTTGGACACTGCCTTGCAACGGGTGAGGTGGGATTCTCGGGTCGGAGCTGGAGCTTTGGCTGGGCCCAGTGGGGGGGGGGCATTCATCCAAACGTTGCCAAGAACAGCTAGGATGAGAGGCGTGTGTTTTTGTTTTCATGTCCCAAGCTCACCTCATCATTTAGCAACCACCCTGGGGTGTTTTGGGGTTGCTATGTGGGGCAGAGCAATTGAGAGTGAGACATTTTGTGACGGTATCCTACCATCAGCGGCCATCAGTCATTCCACATGCCTATTATATTTATAAGATTTATAAGCTCACACGAACTTACCTTGTTAAAGACTTCCAGCTGGCTCTCCTTGCCGTCCTTGTCCACGCTCCCCACGCTGGTCCACGCACTCTTTCCCCGCGCGCCGCTGAGGGAGTTCGACGCCCAGGGGCTAACGAACCTGGCTCAATCCTTGGCGAAGCTGGAGATACAAAACGACTCCATGTGCCCAGGCTGCGATGATGTTGGTGGAAGCAATGACAAATGACAGTTGTGTCATCTGCTCGCTGGTTTCGTGTTTTCTTGGGAAACGTTTGGTATGGAGTTTTCTCCTACGCAGCCTCAGCTTGAACTTGCTGAGCACAGACGTTGAACCTTGTTTCCAATGGCGTCTCTCATGCCCCTTTCTGCGACTAAAAGAAGACATTCAGGGACATTCACCATGCCTGACACTCCATGTATGCCATAATTGCCTACATTGGGGTGGTTTAGGGGTCAATGGGTCGGCGTATATGTTATTGTCCCATACGGGTCGTGTTTGCGCATGATTCGCCAGCAAACCCAAGCAGCTCAGGCCCTGCTGTGGGCTCGTGACATTTGTTGAAGAATGATCCTCCACCCTTCCCACAATGCAAGAATTATCCCGCCATGTGGATATAATTTAAATAGGTGCACCAAGGCATTCCAAGGCCCGACGTGCCCTTCTGAATTTAACATGTGTTTGCATGTGTTTGCTATAGAACTGCGATCAATGCTCTCCCACGGATGGTGAATGGAATAATATGGAATAATAGTTATAGGCATGCCAAGCCATTATAGTATATCATTCACCCCATGTGCTCCAAATGTACGTATAAATATGTGTAGTGTACATTGGATATTCAGGTCCCCATGGACGCTCGCCCGAGCAATCGCGATTCTTGGAACATCTCACCAGAATCGAGGCTTGATGCCTTGATCCAGGCCGGCGCTTACAGATCGGACCTTGGACAAGGGCAATCGTGTCCTCAATGATGATCCACCCTCGGAATTCGATCAACCATTGATTGAATGGGTTTCCCATGGTTTTTTAAAGGAACCTCTGTTGTACTAAGGACTTTTGACTACAACATCAGGTCAACCTTTCGTTTAATGGTCTTTGAAGGCTTGGAATTAGTTATATCGTGGTTTGGAAGTACAGACCAGAACGTCAACTTGCCAAGGATTGTGGTGCCAGGTGCTTGCGTGGAGGTTAAGACGGCCAGTGCGGCCAGTGGCGGTTTGTTGAACCCAACAGCCAGGGGCTCAGCCCCAACCACCGAACCGAAACGGAGTTAGGCCAGGAGGTTTAGGGTTCCTTAACTCAATCAATGAGTGTTCAGAGATGGGATTTGGGTAAGTATATATTTGAATAGGGAGACCCCGTAGTGGTTTTGGTCTAATTCCCTTCTTCCAGGAGGTCGGAATGCCCGGGAGGTATCCATTTGGGCCTATCGCAACCTAATTGACATGTGTCGAACTCGTTGACGCACTGGCACCAACGGCTGGCAGGAAGCCGGCCCCAAGATCTCCACCTTTTCCAACCAAGAGTGCCTTGGATGCAAGCTATACCTACCCAGAGAAAGGTGGATAACCTTTAACTATAGTCCTTTAACTATCTTTAACTTTTTTGGGGAATTGATTTCTCCACCAACTAGATATGAACAGGTGAGGTTAAAGGTTGACCATTCTTTTCCAGGGAAACTGAGGAGGTCAGACTGAGGATTAGTTGTAGGTCTCCGTCATCAGGGAGGTCAGCTTTGTAGAGCTCTCAAGCTCTCCACTCGCTTTTGTTGTTTGAAAGTCCTTGGGGTGGTGTTCTGATGTTGCTTTTCTGATGCTGCTTTTCTCATGTGAATTTCAAAATGCTGCCAGGTTCCTACCCCTTCAAAATCTACAGGACGGCCAGGCTGTAGGGCTTTCTCAACCCATTTTTCTTGACACCACCAGAACACTTGTTGTCCACCTGGTTCGCTCCCCAAACGAACTACTTTTCCCACCAAAAAGAGCCGTTCTGGGGCCGTCTTTTGCTTGCGAATTCTTGGTTGGGGTGGCTTGGATCCTGGGTCATTCCATGTCACCCATCTTCTGCTCGTGGCAGTCCAGAACACGCCTCGACGCCTCACTTCCCCCCGAGTCTTCTCGTAGTTCTCCACTGAGGCTGGCCATGCTGGCCTGGGCCACCGCGCGCCTGGGCCGCTTCCAGGGCCGCGCGCTGCGCCTGGTGGCGCAGGCCACGAAACACCGGCTCGGCGAGCTGACGCCGCAGGAGCGCAGCACAGTATGGCATGGAAGCTGAAAACCATTAGAGTCTTCCAAACGTGGAGGAAGCGAGTCTGCCAAATCTTGCGATTGGTTTCAACGAATCCCGGTTCAGTGCTAATCGTCGGCTGCTTCCTGCACGGGGTTCTTTGCACATGGTTCAGTGAATTCGGACCGTTCATGTGGGCTTGCCGTTCGGTCACTGAAAAGAGCGTAGAAGCTCACTCCGGCGAACGCTGGTGCTTGGAAGACTGATGCAGCCTCTTGATCAGTAAACCCTAAAACTCCTGGCCCACATGGGTGGGTGCCAGGGGGGTCAGTCCCCACCGAACCTGAGGATATGTTTGGAGCCCTAGAGAAAGAACACATCCAGTAGGGACGCAGGGACCCGGACCCTCCGTCGTCCTGGGATGGCTGCTGGATGCCCCACAGGTGCTCCACGTTGCCTAGGGAGACAAGTTATTGTTGTTTATTTGTTCAGGCTCATGTGTCTTGTTCATATTTGTTCATATTTGTTCTTGATATTTCTCAATGCCAGAGATATGTTTTGTTTTTTTGCTATAAAGTCTACTCTATTCTGATACGAGGAGGTTTTATGACTCAACCGTGTGAGGAAGTGGAGGGTATCACTCCCTCCAACTGCCCATGAAAGTGGACCTTCCTCGGTCCTTTCAGGGGCCATCCACCTCCACCTCCATGAGGTCGTTTCAGTGTATGAATAGTTAATTGCATGGATGGATCGTGCTCATTGGGTAAATGTATCTAGAACTACTCGAGTCCAATTCGTTTGGTCTGGGTTTGATCTCAGTCTTATCCCACCCCACGACGAGGCAGGGTTTTCCTCATGGTGCACTGCGCTGCCTCGGCAGGGCTTTCCTAGGCCCCCCCCCTACGTTGCCGCCCCAGCACCCCAGGACGTGAGTGTGTTGGTGTGGTCCTTTGCTCGAAGTGGCATGTTTGAGGCAGACTGCAGGGCCACGGACCGCGGGCCGGATCCGGAGGGACGAGTCCGGATCCGGGCTGGCTGGTGGGATGAGATGCATTTGGATCCTGGCTGTAGCATGAAGCACTGGATAGTACTGAGATATTTGTATTTTTACGTCTTAGAGATTCTGAGAGTCTTAATGAATTGATCAAATCGCATGCTTTGAATTGTGCCAATTGTGATACGGATTCTTTTGAGCTGCAACTGGTTGAGTCATGAGTCATGGTCAGTCATGGCGTCCAAAAGTGCTCATAACTTCTTTTGGTTTTACTATGTTATGTTTCAACTATCATTGATCATTGCCCATGAGTTTACGATGTTTCACTGTTTCACTTTGTTTTACCATATATCCCTGAGTTTTGGCGTGTCCGCTGTCCTCTTGAACAGACATCTCGCTGAATCGCTAGGAAGATCTCGCTGATGAGGACAGCCTTTGGGACCCTGGAATTGGCCGGATTTTGGGTCGAAGCGATCACACGTGCAAATTGAATCAATGATTCGCAATCGTTGGAATGAGTGAGTCGCAAAGCCCAATAGCAGACTCTACTTGATGTTTTGCAAAGCTGTTGCACACAGCAAAGGCATGCTCGAGAAGGCCGGAAGCCGGCAACGCCTCGCAGGAAGTGGGTGTCAAAGGAAAAAAAGACTCCAACCTCGGTCTCACCGGCAAACTTGGCTTCGGGCAGCAGCTCGCATGGATCCTGGGCTCGCGTGTTCCTGTGCGAACTTGGGCTCAGTAGGTCAGTAGGTGACGTGTCATTTGTAGCACCATTTGGAGCTCATCTACCAGAGGATTTGTGTTTAGATGACCTGAAGAACTCTTGGACATTCTCCATCTTCGCAGAATTTCCGGACTCGAACCCAACCCTTTCCATTGGTTCGGGCCCGGAGTCTTACGGCAATAGAACTCAACTGCTCAGGCTGGCTGGTCAGCAATGGTAAAGTGCAGAATTTAGCCCTGTTCACCTGTAAAACCGGGCAACGGGCAGACAGTTTGCTTAGTTGGAAGATCCATGGTATAAATTAACCCCAGGATTCCAACCACCATGAATTTCGTGGTTCTTACCGAGCAACCTTTGTTGTACAAAAGATTTTTCACCACAAAACCAGGTCGTTCCCATGTTTCAACTGGGTTCATTGGAAGCCGCCTGGCTTGAAATGTCCAGGCTTGGATGGGCCGGTAAATCCTGAAAGGCTGGTGAAAGGAAGGCCCAAATTCCACCGGGTGAACCACTCTGAGCTGGTGAGGTCAACGGCCCAAGGGCGGCGAGACACGGCGGTGGCCATCCCTTGAGCAAGCCGAAAAGACATAGGTGGACATTGCCATGGAGAATGATGGTATGTTTGTTGCGACGTTGCCCCATCCTCTCCCTTCTTTGAGGAGAAATCACCATAGGTATTTTCCCTGTGTTTTCGCACCCTGCCAGGGACCGGCGAAAAACATCGCTGCCAGGGACAGCCATGCTGAAGACCTTGACGGAGACCATCCTGCGGCTGATCCCCGATCTGACGCCACAGGACCTGTCCACGATCATTTGGGGCCCCTTGGCGGGCAGGGACCCATCCCACGTCGGTGGTCCGGTCCGATCCTGGTTGTAGACTTAGTCAAAGTGAATGACTGCTTATTGTTGGTGGACAACATGTGTTTTATAGTTGAATTAATTCCTCTATGATATGTTTTGAACAAGGTATCATCATATGCATGAGGATTGTCTCGATTAAAGCACACCAAAAAACAAATAATAGGGGAGTTCCCTCTCTAACTTCTATCATGATGGCCTTCTGGATCTGTTCGCCCACTGCACAGCAAGAAAAAAACATGGAATTTCACCGCCCTCTTCTGCCATCCCATATCCACCCCCAGTCCATCCATGAAAAAGACAGCACTTACATACATTCCCTAGGGATCCAGTCGTACCTTCTCAGAAGGTGATTAGAGACACTGCTACGTAGGTGCCAAAACGTCGGGTCCAGTCGTACCAGTCGTACCAAATCAATCCTGAGAAGATACAACTGGATCCCAAACGGGTGCCACTATTCCATCCATGCAGTGTCTAGAATAAGTAGCTAGAAGCTGCTAGGTGGAGGCCATCGCTATTAGGGTGTAGGCCATTTACATTAGGTCATTAGGTTCCTCTTGCTACTAGGAACAAGAAGCTACTAGATGAACACTTCTGCTACCCATCAGCTACGCATCCCTCGGTCCTCCGATCTCAGGCTACGCCACTCGCGGCGTGGACGACAATCCCGAGCTCATCGAAGCCGTGGCCGATGAGGCAGTCGGAAAGATGGCGCACTTTGCACCCCAGGACCCCGAGATTTGTTGGGGTTTGGACTTGTTCAGTCGCCTGGAAGGGCGGGCCTTCCATACCGAAAAGTAGCTAAGCCATCAGAGAATCATGTTCTTTTGTCAATTAATGGTCCCCAGTAGTTGCAGACTCTTAATATGAAGAGGCTTTACAATCTAAATGCCGGGCCCGGGGTTAATAAGATTCTGCATTGAAGAAGAACAGGTCTTAAGAAAGAAGTGCGCTTTCCGCACTCCAGTGCTTTGCGGTTGGGATGGAACAAAAGGGTCTGTCATTGGCCCATTGAACAGCATGTATTGAGGGGAAGGATGGAAAGGATTCGAATCAAGCAGAAGCTGCTTTTGCGGATCAAAGGATTCTTTTGGTTTGCTTTTGGTTCCATGGGTGAACATCCCCGGTTCCATCAGGGGAACGATAGTCCCGATATGTCCTGGTTCTGAAAGCACCATCCGTGCGGAGCGCAGTTCCATGTCTCGGGGGCTGATTGAATGGAGAGTTGGTCGTTTCTACATGTCATATCTCTGCATGTACTAGTACTCTCCCTGGAACTAACATGGTTACGTGGAGTTCACCAGCTGTTTGTAGTGGAACATGGTTTTCCAAGGGGCCGTTCTCCACTTCCATGTTTTTTTTTCAGGGAGTGTACCAGTCTTAAAAAACCATTGCACCTCACAACGTGAACGAACGCACACCCTATGTGATGCATGTGGCATGTGAGGAATCACGTGTATCCAACCCTTGTTCAGTGGTCCAGAACTTGAGAACTTGGGCAGGCAACCACATCTTCCCAAGACTAAACAACCAAATGCCCATGCTTCTTCAGTTCGTGACCAAGCTGGATCCATTTGGATCCCCTGTGGTTTGAGTTTTCTTCGTCCTGCAGAAGGTCACTTAGAGATTCCAAGAAGGTCACTGAAGAAGCTGGTGCAAGTATAAGTATGCTCACTCTATTCCCTCTGAAGGGAGTGATACTTGTGTAAGATCCCCTAACCGTGTCGCCACTTCGTTTCATCCCCCAGATCCGTGGCGATCGCCTCCGATCGCCTGTCCATCCGCATGTCCTCCGGGAGGATATGGCGAATGTGGCCTGGGGCTTGGCAAAGCTTGGGCTCTTGCATGAGGAGTTGTTCCAGGCCACGGTTGTTACATGGCCGGTTTGAACTGTGTTGACCAGGACGTCTGAATGAGCGTGCAGAAATCAGGTCGTACAGGTCGTACGGCCATAGAAACACTATATGAATTACTAGTACCCTAAGAATCCGAACGGGCTCTCCATGGCAGGGGTCGGACCCGACACCTTCGCAAGGGTCTGGGCCCGAACCAAACCCTATGCTTTTGAGGGCCCAGATTCTTAGAGGTTGCGGCCTTTTGAGGCAGTGGCAGAGAGATGTTGAAACAGCAGAGGACCCACGTTTCCGATCATTCGCAGAGGATCAAGTAGTAGGAGAATGTGAAACAGCAGAGGACAGGGCGACCTCCTTGGAGGCTCCAAGTAGCTACTCCCGAGCTTTTCCCCTCTCCAGGCAGCTCTTGAGCTCCACCAATGGTTTTATTCTGGGACCCTGGCAGTCTTGTTCCTAGTAGCTTCTTGTTCCCAGTAGTATGGCCAGGAGCGCCCCGTTGGTAGCTTCTTGCTCCGTTCCTAGCGACGCCCTTTGTTCCTAGTAGCATTCTTGCTACTAGTAGTTTGGCATGGTTCACATGCCCTGGTTGATTCTTTTTAGACAAAAGACGAACAGAAGGTACTTAGTACCAGCCATGAAATCCTAGAGGTGGAGTTTTCAGTGTTACTTGCTAAAGTCAGTCTACTGAACCTGACATCAATACAAACCAGACACAAACCCATAAGAATGCTAATTTTGGGCCTTCATTTCTGGCGGATTCTGGCGGTATTGGAACCTCCACAATCGTGTTGTGCCCACAACAACCACAACAGTGTTGTGTCGTTTGTTCCGGATCCAGTCGTACCTTCTCAGGTACGGTGATTGGGGCCACTGTGTTGTCGGTTTGTTGGGCGATTTGGGGACGTGGACCGATTTCATTCAGGTGCTCTCGAAGGACTTGGTCAGGCGGATCGATGAGTGTCAGGCTCCGTTTCGGTTCGATGGGACAGGGGTGGGTGCCATAGGGATCCGTCCCCACCGACAGGAGCCCTAGGGCTCTTTCCAGACATGAGTTGCAGGAGGTAGTAGCTATATATATATATAGTTCCCCTCCTGGTTTCAAGCACGAACTTTCAACCCACCCATCGTCTTTTCTGAAGAGAAGCAGCCCTTGGCTGCCAAAATGGCTGCAGGCCAGGCTGTTTTGCCCACATCCAGTCATCAAATCGAAAACACCTGGTTGTAAGTGGACATATGTGGACATGCTTTTCATTCCAAAACAACGCCTTTCCGAGCAATTGATGGGGTCTTTGAACCTCTTTGAGCCCTCCAACAACCACGACAATCGAAGTTCTTCTGGTTTTCCTCCAACTCAATACTACGCGGAATACTTGGAATACTAATTAATTAATATAATGTATACACCCGTAGAACCCCCCAAAAGTCCCCCCAAACCAACCTTTTGGGCTCCTCCTTGGCTCTGAAATCCACCCGCGCCGCCACGCACGTGCCGCCCAGCTGCGCGCCGTGCAGGCGCAACACCTCTCCATCGCCGCCTGGTCCTTTGCCAAGCTGGGCGCCGCTTCGCCGACGCTCCGGCGATGGTGGAGCGATGGTCGGAACCATACGGATCCGAACGCGGAGAAGCAAATAGTGGCCCCCCCCGGCTACGCCTTGGAAACCGTGCCACTATATCCATTTGGGGGATCACTCTAAGACATCACCCTTTTTAGTGGGGAGTGGTGGCATCGAGCTCACGAGAATGGAGTTCGTTCGGTTCACCTGTATTTCATCTCCCTTCGAAGACTCGGACATGGAAGGAAACTCAACCCCGCCAGGCTCTGAGGACTCCAGGTCCAAGAAATCATGACATGACATTTCAGCCCTACACCTCCAAGTACCTCCTCAGAAGGTATTTGGACCCTCCAAACCCACCCCGGTCCCACCTTCTCAGTATGTACGACTGGAGGCTTAGGGCAGAAGTCACAAGGGGGCGCTGTTTAGTTCGAAAAACTTAATAGGAGAGTGATAGTGGGTATCCCTGCAGCTCCATGGGTAGCACCCCGACATGGAACGGCCGTTTTTCTGACTCCAGTAACCAAGAGTAACCTAGGGATCCAGTGACCACAAGGTCGCTGGTAACCATTTGTCCCGGTTCGACGACCAAACCACTGGTTCCGCACGAAGTCGGTTGCATGGTTCCTGGCTGCCTATATAGGATTCTCTTAAAATTCTCTATATAAATAAGAGTGCGGAGAAGTGTAGATCCTGATCTTGGACCACCAGCATTTCGAGTTGAGAGCAGTCCGGAGGTTCAGGCTGCCCCCAGAAACACCTTCCACGCAGAGAAGTGCCTAGATCCTGATCCTGCACACCAACCCAGGAAGCTCTTTTGGGCCATCGGGCAAGCGTTGTCGATGCGGGCCGAGCAACTGGATCCCCAAGGCCGGTCATGGTGGCAGGTCGCTGGCTGGCTGGAGGATGAGACTCAGATTTGAGGAATGACCTCGTACTTGGACCTTCAAGGGGTGTCCAATGGAGGTCCCTTAGTAGTGTAGGGGCTTCTATTGGTGACCCCTTTGAAGGTGCTGGTGCTTGAAAGAAACAACAAAATTTTAAACAAAACAACAGAAACACATATTGCAAAGTGGCTGCATTTAAGAGGCTCTAGGTTGATACCTCAAGGCGGGTGCCTGTGTGGCTTTATATATGTGAAACCAGCAACAATCTAGACTGAGTCTTTGCAAGTGTTAAATATGAAGTTCCGATCCGCTTTGATTTTTGTGCCAGGTGTGGGAAATAGCCTTTGGGCATTTGCTGTTCTGTGCTTTTGGCACGAGCCCTTCGTACAGGCCACTGGGGGGCTGTGCGCACCGGCCAATCTGCTGGCCAATCGGCGTCGCGACGGAAGGCCCAGTCGATCGAAAAGTCCAAAGCAGATCGGTGGCATACGGTATCCCTAGCCCTAGGCCTCCAGTTGTACCTGCTGAGAAGGTGGGACTGGGGTGGGTGCCAGGAGGGTCTAAGTACCTTCTGAGGAGGTACTTGGAGGATCTTGGAGGTGTAGGGTAGGATTCGTGGCCGGAATTTCACGGGTTGAATCCCAATCAACCAGCTGTTTGACGTAATTACTCAGAAAATAACAGAAACTAATGCCTTTCCCACCGCCAGCAGGTCCTGGTCAGACACGACCTTTGGATATGGGTCATAGCACTGGGATGAGCCCCGACCGCCGAACATGAAGAGACTGAGACTATATAGTGGCCGCCCCCGAAACCGTAACTCGGTTCGATTGGCGTTGGGGTGCATGGTTTGTGAGGGTCCCACTGGTCACCTGAGCAGCCTGAGCTGACGATACTCGGCCGTTCGGGGTCCTTTTAGGGTCCTTTCGAGAAGCCCTGGGCGACGGATCTCCCAAGGCCTTGGGCCGCCGGGCCGTGCGCAGCTTCGGTGAGCTCACTGCACAGGCGCGGGCACCGGGCCGAACGGTGGTTGGAGAGGTTCTAAGAGTTGGTGGTTCGAGTTCGAGCTATATATTATATACTCCCTAGAGCTCCAAGTACCTTCTAAGTTTGGGGTTGGTTTGGAGGGTCCAAGTACTTTCTGAGAAGGTACTTGGAGCCCTAGGGACTATTAAGAAGTATAAGAAGTTGGAGAGGTTCTAAGAGTAAGACTATATTATGTACTTCTTATACGTCTTATAGTCTTACTGTAAATGTACAAATGACTATATAGAAATTATGCCTCAATCTCTGCGCTAATCCTATAGGTTATATGCAGGAGTTCGGAGGTGAGTTCGGAGATGGGCCTTCTCTTGTTGGCAGCCCAACTGAACCGGAGGCGGCCTTTCGAACCATCCCCTAAGCGAACGGGACTGAAGGACCACAGCTCTGGAACCGGAGTGCTTTGCTAACCAGTCTGAGCGAACCTGAAGTTGGGTACGACTGGTGTAGGGTATACGTGCTTCTCCCCCCAGAAGGTCGCTGGAGTTGCAGGTGTTTTCTTTTGTGTTTTTCAGCTGTTCCAGGTTGAGAATCTTTGCAGGATTCTTTTTGAGAGCCAAGAACCACCAACAAACGCCCATAGGTGTGGGGTAATTATTTTGGAGTCAGCTGTTCTCAAAAAGACAGAAGACCTAGACGATGAGGCGGTGGAATCAATTTGGTTCTTCGGAGGTTCGTGCGGCACGCAGGTTCTCCTCAAAAGCTGAGGTTAAGTTTTCGAGGGAGACTTCTTGTTCAATGTTTGTTGAGAAAAATGGGTGTTACTAAGTCTAGTCTATAGTCTTCTTCATCAAACATGGCTACCCTATTTTCTTCAGGCTATATAGTGGTGGATGTTCACCGTGTAGGCCACTTGACAAGAAGACCGGACGTAGAGGAACATGGACACAGACTCATCGCAGATTTCAGTAGAGGAACATGACTCCGCCCTAAGGCTCCAGTCGTATACCTTCTGAGAAGGTGGGAGCCAGCGGTGCAAGGGTCCGGGTAGAACATGGTACGACAGGAATGCGGATCCCGAGGGACATGGGACATGACCAACCCAGACGCTCCGTGAACGACGGCTGACCGGTCCCTGAAAACTATAGGGATTGGTTCGGGTCCGGACCCCGTATGAGGATTCGGGTACAGCCCCTACTGAATGGAGGGTCCAGGGTCGCGTCTGGGTGGACGTGCTTCCGGGAAATTCCTGGATCGTTCTGAGGAAATGGCCAATGTAGCCTTCGGTCTTCGAACACTCTTGTGCTGGCGCAGGCCGCGGGTCCAGAGGGGTTTTTAGAGGGCCACACACACTTTTGTGTGTGTTGCCGGCTTCTTCAGGTTCGAGACTGAACGTCCCTAGGGATCCAAGTACCTTCTCAGAAGGTGATTGGAGACACTCTTATGTAGGTTTTGAGGGTCCAAGTACCTTCTGAGAAGGTACTTGGATCCCTAGGGCTTTGGAGTCTCCTGTTTTTGGACCGTGTTTCAAGAACAGACCCGGCAGTCCAGGACGGCAGTCCAGTTCGGTCACCGACTCGCATCAGGACCTCCCAAACGATCCGAGAGGAAGACATCCGACCCATGCGATCCGCAGGGAAGACCCATCTCATCCAAGCAGCTGATGAGATTAGGGCATATTCGGGCTGGTTATGATGGTTTTATGTTTCCGTTTATGCTTTGCATGGTTTATGCTTATGCAGATAGACGGGCAGGTGGTGTTTGGGGGCAAGGATTTTATGCAGTGGGTACCCTTTTGTTTGCTCGTGAATATGTTTTTTTCTAGGCTCGCTGTTCCTTTTATTAAGCAGGTGGTTGCAGACGGTTCTTGTTTGATGCTGCGGGATTTCCCCGTGGCCTTGGTGGTGGCAGTGGTGGCGGTGTGCTTGTTATTGTTTATTTTATGTTTTAGCGTATGCATTGCATTTGTTTTCTTGTTATTATTATGTCGTTTGTTTTTGTTTGTATTGTGTTTTTTTTTCAATGTGTGTTTAATTGTTTTTATGTTTATATGTGGTTTGTCGTTGTTTCAAAAAATGTAAGTTGTGTTTATTTCTTCATGTTCTTATTATTTTTCTTATTATTATATATGTGTTATTCTTGTTTATGCAGCGGATGCCTTTTGATGCTCGTGGTTCTTCTTTCTATGCTCACAGTTCATTTGTATGCAGGTGGTTTATTATGCAGACGGTTCGATAGTGTGTGCCGGGCCGCGTTCGCTCTTTTATGCTCGTCAATGAACTTGGTGAGCATTTGATTTGATCATCATCTGCCAGAGTTTGTAAACGCATCAAAAGACATAAACAACTCACCAGCATTGAAAAAAAGACAACAACGTAACACCGTCAGCATACAAGAATCAGAACCGCCAGCGCAATAAGATACTCACCAGCATTGAGAAAAAAAAAA